AAGACACTGCAGATGGAAGATGGAATGTTGAGAAAAGAAGCTAGAAGTGATGCATTGTGTCAAGAATGGAAACAGGTTGAAAGATAAGGACTCAATGTCAAGCACTGTGGGCCTCTGAGGCTCTTCAAGGTTATGAGAGGAAAACCCACTTCAGGTCAGATCATAATAATGCCCTAACTTGGACCTAATATGGCAGCTGAGGAGACTCAGAGGAAACAGATGATGTGAAACCATGATTTACAAAACAGAGTTAAGAGTCCTAGCAAGAAGTACAAAAAAAATAAAGTTTGTTTTAAAATCTCCCGGTGGATTAGTGAATAACCACCCACATGCCAAACTTCCAGGGTGGAAGAAATCTCATTCCCCTCCCTAAGGCAACTCTTGACTTACCTTCCTCTTGTTGTGATAAGCAATATAGAGGACAGCAACAAGAATGGCTGCAGTCACCAGATATGCAAAGAAGTGACTGCTTTCTGCACTGGCACTTTCAGAATTTTCCTTATAAATATCATCCTTGCTATTCATGGAATCCAAAAGTGTCCCTTCATGGTTCTCACTGGAGGCAGGGCCAGGCATCTTTCCTTTCTCTTCTTTGGGTGGTGATCCTTTTTCAGGCCCTGTATCACCTTCTTCAGTGTCTTTGGGTACCACATCTTCTTTGGGTGGTGGTCCGTCTTCAGGCCCTGTATCATCTTGTTCAATCTCTTTGGGTACATCTTCTTTGGGTGGGGATCCATCTTCAGGCTCTGTATCACCGTCTTCAGTCTCTTTGGGTTCCACATCTTCAGTACGCTCTGAAGACTTATTTTCCTCCTTTGGCAGTGAAGGGTCCTTTGACTCTGTCACCCCAGATTTCAGTGTGGAAACATTTGGAGACTGCTCTCCATCAGCTAGCTGGTTTTCCTTAGTCTTAGGGGATTCCAGCTTAGTAGAGAGGATGGAGGTGGGCGTGCTGACGTGCACTGCATTGGGAAGTTGGTTAGAATTCGAGTTGGAGCCTCCGTTCGTAGCAGGTTGCGCCTGACCTGGTCTGCCAGAGTCATCTTTCGGGGAAGCTGAGTTCTGAACGTTTGACTCTACCTGCACAGAAGTATGTCTCGGCTCAGGCAACTGGCTCCCCTCATTTCTTGAAGTTTCTACAGCGGGGTGGGCACCTGACGGTGGAACGACCGTCGAACTTCTGATGTTTGACTGCGAAAGTCCTAAAATAGAGAAACCAGTTAGCCCTGAAAAAGGGCAGGCCGGGAAGAAAGCATTTTCCAGAAACTGGAAGAGATGGGGGTCAACGGGCGAACAGAGGTGGGGGTGGGGTGGGGTGGGGTGGGGGACGATGGCGAGAGGAGACGGGAATTGGGCGAGGAAAAAGCAAGCCCAGATAGCGACTGGGCAAGGTGAGACTAGCTGTCCAGGGGACAAGAGTGGGGTAGGGGTTGGGGAGGGTGGTCTCACCCTTCGCGGAGACGCTCAGCAGAACCAGCGCAAGCAGGAACCACATCCTGCACGGATAGCGCTTCCGCTCTCTGCAGCTCTCGCGAGATCCGCGCGCCTGCTGCGCACTCGCAGCCCGCGCACTCTCAGCCCCACCCATTCCCGCGCGCGCGCCTCCCTGCCTAGTGCCGCGGCGCCCGGGCGCGGGGAGGGGCCTGGGACGCGGCCGCAGCGGCCTCTTGTGCTCTCGGGTCTGCGGCGGTGTTCGTAGTTCCCCAGTGAAAGGCGAGCCACCTCTTCCTAGTTTTTCTCCATAGCAGCCACAACTAACGGGCACTCCTTTTTTTCCTTCATTCCTCTGGTACTTTTGAGTCAACACAAGCTGAGCAGAGCCCGCTCGCTGTGCGCACCACCCCACAGACTTGAGTTTGCTGGGGCAGGCGCTTCCTCTTCGCCCCGTCCTCTGCTTGTATTTCTTTCTTTTAGGGGGCGGGGGTGGACTGAGTCTCATTTTGTCGCCATCTGTAGAGTACCATGGCGTCGTAGCCCATAGCAACTTCAAACTCCTGGTCTGAGGCGATCCTCTTGCTTCAGCCACCCAAGTGGCTGGGACTACGGGCCCCCGCCATGACGCCGGGCTACTCTTTTAGAGACGGGGTCTCGGGTCTTGCTCAGCTGGCCTAGAGGTCAAATAATCCACCAGAGTGCTAGGATTACAGGCGTGAGCCAACGCTTCAGGCTCTGCATTTCTTTTTTTTCTTTTTTTTTTTTTT